TGGATAACAACTGAAATTTTCCCTAATATCCCTGTGGCTATTCAATTACAATTGTCATGACCACAATCTCAGGAGTTTCTTTCCCTATTCCAGCCTAAAAACCCCCCACAAACAAACAAACAAACAAACAAAAAAAACAAAGTGCTCCTTTTAGAAGCACAAAGATGAAAACTAACTCCATGGTTTCTTTCTTCAATAGAAAAAGAATAGGAAATTAAGGCAAAGTTAATTCCTTGAAAATTCTATTTTCAACTTTTGAAATATACACAAGAAAACAAAAATGAAACAAAAATTCTATCCTTAACTTCTTTACCCCCACCCCACTCCACTCACATAAAATAACTTCTTTTTTTTTTGACATGGGGGGGGTCTACGTTGCCCAAACTGGTCTTGAAATTACCAAGCTCAAGTGATCCTCCACTTTAGCCTTCCAAGCAGTTGGGATTATAAGTGCATGATAACCACAACTGGCTACTTTCTTATTTTTAACACTGCTATTCTGCTAGCAATCCAAATTATAAAAGGGCTTTGTAATCTAAAAGGACTGAATTCAAATACTAATTCAGGTACTTACTGTGTAACCTTGGGCAAATTATTTAATTTTTCTGAGCCTTAGTTCCCTCATTTTCAAATGTCTATAAAAAGTTACCCCAAAGGGTTGTTTGAAAGATTAAATAGGGTGGAGAGAATAAGATGTCCAAATAGAAACTTCCAGTGATCTTTCCTCTGCATGAACACCAAATTCAACAACTATCCACACAAGCACGCACCTCAGAACAAACAAATTCAGGTGAATGATTTTATTATGGTCTGGTTTTAACATTGTATCAAGGGAAGAGGTACTGAAGAAGGCAGAAAGGACAGTCTTATATCACCCACGCCACTCATCCCTCATCCCCTAGGAATGCTATGCCAGAGTACCAAGTGGAGAAACAATCTGTGCACCCAGTGAGGAGAGTGAAGTGATGGTGGGGCTCTGCATCGAAACCCATGGCCGTCTTGTCACAGGGGAACACAGCACAGGGCAGAATTCTGCTGCTTGCCCACAGAGGAAGCATTTACACCAGCCTGGCCAGAGACAAATTTAAGTTCTGGCCAGCCCAACCACTGGCAGACAGAATGCGGCCTGGGGCCTGCAATAAATTCATAAGGAGGTCAGGCCCCAAAGGCTATAGCTGTGCTGGCTCTAAACCAGTGGACTTGGGCTGCACTTGACTGAGTGAGACACCAGCAATAGTGGCCAAGCCAGTGCTTATCCTCCCAACTATAGGCAGTATAGCTCAAGGACTCAAGTGGACTTGGGGTACACTTAATCCAGTGAGGCACCAGCAATAGTGGCCAAGCCAGTGCTTATCCTCCCAACTACAGGCAGTATGGCTCAAGGACTCAAGTGGACTTGGGGTACACTTAACCCAGTGAGACACCAGCAGTGGTGGCCAAGCCAGTGCCTATCCCCCCAACTACAGGCAGTATGGCTCAAGCACTCTTCTTCCACTTGGGGAAAGGAAAGGGAAAAGTTTAGAGCACTTTGTTTTACAACTTGGATATCAGCTCAGCCACACTAAAATAAAGTACCAAGAAGGCCCCTGAGTTCAGGCCTTAGTTCCGGGAAGATGTTGCTAGATCTACCCAAGGCCAGAAAGAACCCTGCTGCTCTGAGGGAAGGACCTGGTCCTGGAAGGAGTCACCACCTGCTGACTAAGGAGCCTTTGGACTTTGAACAAACATCAGTGGTAACCAGGCCACATCGTCATGGGCTTTGGGTTAGACTGGGTGGCTTCAGGTGTGAGCTGGTGCTAGGGGTGCCCCATGTCACTCTTCCTCCAACTCCAGCAGCCTAGCACAACATGTGAAGGAAGAGAGTAGAAGACTTTGCCTGGTAATCCAAGGAATTCTCCTGTACCTTACTCAAGTCCACCAAGGTAGTATCACCAGGAGTCCGTAGAGTCACTACCAGGTCTGGGGCACTCCCTGTGCTGACAGACTCAGGTTACAATGCTCAGTTCCCTTTGAATTTGAAACCTGGAAAACTTTCTCAAGAAGAATTGTTGCAGTCACAAGTCCAGACTGCAACAATTAAAATAAATATCCAACTCTTAAATGCCCAGACATTGATGAACATAACCAAGCATCAGAAACACCCAAGAAAACATGACCACCAACAAACTAAATAAAGTACTGGTGACCAATCTCAGAGGGATAGAGATTTGTGACCTTTCAGAAAAGGATCCAAAATAGCTGTCCTGAAGAAGCTCCGTGAACTTCAAGATAACACAGAGAAGAATTCAGAAACCTATGAGAGAAATTTAATGAAGAAATTGAAATTAAAAAAAATGAGGCAGAAATTCTGGAGCTGAAGGATTCAACTAACAAACTGAGAAATATACCAGTCTCTTAACAGTGAGCCTGAAGATGGGTTATTTCAAAATACAGGATAAGAAGAGAAAAAAGAAAAAAGAAGAATGAAGCATGCCCATAAGATCTAGAAAACAGCTTCAAAAGGGCAAATCTAAGAGTTTAAAGAGGAGGTAGACAGAGACTGGGGTAGAAAGCTAATTCAAAGAACTAAAAACAGACAACTTTCTAAACCTAGAGAAAGATATCAACATTCAGGAATAAGAAGCTTACAGAACACCAAGATGATTTAACCCAAATAAGACTACCTCAAGGCATTTATTAGTGAAGCTCCCAAAGGTCACAAAGAAAAGGTTCTGAAGGAAATAAAAAAAAGAAATTACATACAAATGAACTCAGTCTGTCTAGCACCAGACTTCTCAGTGGAAACCTTCAGGCCAAGAGAAGGTGACAAGACATAGTCAAAATGATGAAGGAAGAAACCCTTCACCCTATCCTGTTATATACTACAAAAATATCCCTCACAGATTGAGTAGAAATAAGGACCTCCTGAGACAAATAAAAATCAAGGGATTTCATCAACACCTGACCTTTAGAAATGCTAAAAGGAGTTCTTCAACATGAAAGAAAGAACATTAATGAATAAAATCATCTGAAGCTATACAACTAACTAGAAATACTAAGTACTCAAATACACAATATTCTATTGCTGTGCTTGTGGTACAAAAACCACTTCTACATTGAGTGGAAAGACTGAAAAAAAAACTATCAAAGATAACTTTTTGAAAGACTGTATGAAAAGATATGGATGACAACAAAAAGTTAAAAAGCTGGAGGGACGGAGTTTGTTAGATTTCTCTTGGCTTGTTTGTAAGCAGAGTTGTGATATGTTTAAAATAATTGTCTTGTTTTTTTAGAGACAGGGTCTCAGCTCGAGTGCAGTGGCATCATCATAACTTACTATAACCTCAAACTCCTGGGCTTAAGCTGTCCTTTTGCCTCAGCCTCTGAAGTATCTGGGACTACAGATAGGTGCCATCTCCACATCTGGCTTATTTTTATTTTTTTTTTGTAGAAATGGGGTCTTGCTCTTAGTCAAGCAACCTTTGAACTCCTGATCTCAAGCAATTCTCCTGCTTCAACCTCCCAGAGTGCTAGGATTATAGGCTTGAACCACCACACCTGGCCTGGTTATGGTTTTTTTTTTTTTTTTTTTTGCAAGCTTCATGGTAACAGATAACATAAAAAACCAAGCGCAAAAAATTAAGACATATCACTTTTTAAGAGAAAATCAC